GAGAGAGAGAGAGAGAGAGAGAGAGAGGGCGAGAGAGGTAGAGAGAGTGAGAGGGAACGAGAGAAAGGGTAGCTTGCGGAAAAGAGGATTATTAGGGTTCCGTCTTTTGAGTGTTGGAGAATGTTCATTTGTAATTGTTTAAATCTAACGAGAAATGTACTGTAAAACTATAAGTACTATAGGCACTAAAAATATATCATTTGTTGACATGAAAAAATAAAAAAACCTGAGTCACGTGACGTTTTATTCGCTGGCGTCTCCCATCTGTCCAGTCGCCTTCTTCCCGCATGGTCGTGCTAACGAAGACGAAATGATTCTATTACGTCCAGCTTCGCTTGATCGAAGCCTACGTCGAGATGACGAACAGTCGGCCCTCTTACCTTTGCCCCAGGTAAGTGGATAACGTGTCGGTTCAGGTAAATATAGTCGCCGGCAGGAAGGACTCGGCAATCCGGCGAGCCGGTCGCGTCGTTAAGAATAAATCGTCGGGACGGATTTGAATGAAAAATTTATTCGTGACGCGCGTGTTTTTATGTACAGCGATAAGAATATAGAGCGCGCGTCATCGCTAACTCTGCTCTCTGAAAATAGACGTTGCAATTCCTTTTCTCTCCGCGGTTCCGGGAGGCTGGGTCGTTCTCCCGATCGTCGACAATTCGACCGCGCGGACCTTTACGCGTTCATTTGAAGGCGCAACATTGCACAGGAGGCGAAAAGTACACGAAGTGTCCGGAGTATCGTGATTCTACTTCGTTAATTATATTCTTAAAGACTTGAATACGCATAAAGATCCGCGGATAGCTGTTAAAGCGACGCGGTAAATGAGTCACTGCGTGGATTCCGCGCGTGTTCGAAAACAATCGCGCAAAATCCTCTTAACCTGTCGGCCGGATATGGACGGGTCGGCTCGCGCTTGATTATATTTGCCGAACGATCCGTCATTGTCCCATTCATCAGCCCCGAAACACTCGCGACCAGTCGCTTCGAAATGCATAACGCGTGTCCGTCGCGTTCCTCGGGATGTACGACGCGTGTAATGCTTTTCCAAGTTCCTCGATCGTCCTCTTTTAACAGGTGAACAAGTCAATTCCACTGGTACGCGTCGAAGGAACCGATCTCGGATGGCGAAACGCGGATAAATGTGTCTCTGTAAATTGAAAATGAACTTCTTAACCGCCGAGACAGTTCAACGCAGCCCCGATTGTTATTGGAGCGCGTGCTGGTGCTGTTGTTGCTGTTGCTGCTGCTTCTGCGTCGCCTTGGTCGGCTGACTCTCCGGAGACGGCGACGGTTGTTTCTTCTTTTCCTCTTCCTTCTCCTTGACCGAAGGTGGCGGCAACGTGTTCAGCAAACCTCATTAAAAGGAAGAATGTACATATTAAATATTCACTGGAGAACTGAAAACAGTCGACGGAATAACGAAGTTACTCACCAACGGTCTCGCCTTTGAGGGAGGTTCCTGTAACCGCAAAGAAGAAACTGAAATTTTCCAAGCAACCTTCTGAATTCGGAATCGATGCTCGGTCTTGTCGACCGGACTTACCGTTACCCCGATACTTGTTCAACTGTTGATAAACCTGTTTCATCCTTTCGATATTGATCCTCGAGCTCTTACTGTGGTTCACCATGGGCAACGAGTAGTCTTGCCCGATGATGCACTTGGCGGCACGTTGCACGCTGAGCGGGGCGTTCCATGGCTCGTGGATGTATCTCGTAGGAATGTTCTTTAGCACCGGTAAGTAGCGTCTAATGTCGCAGAAAAGTTGGCGAAAGTTGCGACAAGAACGAGGAAGGATGATCGAAAACATGGTTATAATGAAATATTTACCTGATGTAGTCGCCATTTGGATCAGCTTTCCTGCCGAATCTCACGGGACAGTAACAATGGAAGAATTGTTGGAAGAAGGAGCTGCACGACAGCCACATCCACATTCCTGCGTTGACCGACCAGTCCGCGTCCAGTAGGAGCTCATCGAAGACCTTGAAGAACGTGCATTTTATTCCTTCATATGTTAACAAGATTTCGATGACGGCAACAATCTTGCACAGGAGGAAGATAGCAAGGCAAGATCAGGATCTTGGTTTATTCGATGATCGATCACTCAGTTACTAGATTTTACCTTCATCCCTTCTTCCCAGGAAATCCAAAGGTCTCCTCTGGTAAGGAAGCAGGCGACAGCGTGCCTGGCCAAATGGTGGATCCAGCCCTCCTCTCTCAGCTGCGTCATGATCGCGTCGATCCACGGGAATCCAGTCTGTCCCTGTTCGAGAAACACGGTTAATAGGAATGATTCCGATGCGCGCGGAATGTATTCGGTTCACTCACGTTTGCCCACTTGGCGAGAGCCTCGACGTTCTTGTCCCAGGGAATCTGCACGCAGATCGGGTTCCCCTGCATCCGGTCGAAGTTCGGATTCTTGGTGGCGGCGCAGTAAAAGAATTCGCGCCAGAGAAGCTGGCCGTGCAACGAGAGCGGAGGCACCGCTTTCTTTATCTGCAAGAGGAAACGTGTTGGACGGTACTTCCGAAGAAATTGAAAGTACTCAGTGGATCAGTTCGACAACGATGACTTCATCGGAGTCTGCGAATAGTCCTACATCTCCGGGAAGTCGATTTTTGTTCCAGCAAGTTCAAGCTACACTCTTAATTTCACAGATGTCAAGAAACTGTGTTTACCTTTTTATATAGATCAGTGAGCTGATAATAGAACAGCCTCGTGCTCAGGCAACCGAATCTCAAGTAAGGCGACAGACCCGTCTGACTGGGCAGCAAGGATTGCGGAGTCATTTTCGGCCTGCCAAAACTGGCCACCCAAGCCTTCCTCTCAAGGTGACGGCCCAGTCGCGCCAACGCCTCGCTCTCACCCCCGACCCAGACGGGCGGTCGAAGTCCTTCCGTGTCGAAACCTACCGGCAATCGAAACAACTCGCTTTTCGTCCTGCTTGGAAGACATTCTCTCGCGGATCAGCCTTTGCTAGAAACTTCTCGTTTTACGATTGGGCCCGATGTAGCCTCTACCGAACTATCGGTTATCGACGAACGAGTACGAAGAATCTCGTAATTCCTGTATCACAACGGAGAATCAAGCTGCGCTGGTCAAGCGAGCGCAAAATCTTACCGAGCTCCTCAAGGGTCGGTACACCGTAATGATCGTCGTGGTCCTCCTTCAGAGGTGTGTAAGCTGATCCGACGCAAACGGATGTGACGGTCTGCACCGGCGGTTCCGGTGGGTCCATGCCAGCGACGACGTTTTGAAATTGATGATACGTCAACGGCGGCTTGCCCCCGTTCTTCTCGATGATCCTGAAAGCCACCGTAACCCGGGCGTTAAGCTTCACCGCTGCGCCAAGCGAACCGGTAGCTAACCCGGGGACCGGTCTAATCGAACAAAGTTGCATGGACTCACTCGTCCAGCTTGTAGAGCGTGTGCGAGACCTTTTGGACCACCGAGATACCGAGTTCGTTGCACAACGCGGAGATGTTGTGGTCCCGCACGCGGCCGAAGGGCTCCGGGTCCTCCTCGAAAGTCAGGTTCGTCGTGCCCCATTCCTTGAACAGTTTCGGCAGAGCGTCCGCCGGTTGTCCGCGTATCACGAACAGCCTCGAGTTCAGTTTCCTGAGGGAGCAGTCGAGGTCCTCCAGACATTGTAGCAAGAACCTGGAAAGACGAGACATTTTTCGGGGTGTTCTTTCGGGTAGCTTCTTATCCTCTAGCTCGACATCCTCAGATTGAAAAACCAAAGATCGATCGATACATCGAGGATCTCACCTCCATTTATTGATGCCGACGTTCGTACTGCCAGCGAACCATGGATCCAACACGAAGACACATCGGAAGGTGGACGCGCCTGCCAGACCCTCCCTCAATGAAGGATTATCGTGCAGTCTTAGACCCCTGCGGAACCAGTGGACCGTGTGTTTCTGTCCCTCCGCGCGGATCCCCACTTCCGGATTTATATCCCTGTTCCGGCTGCCCGTCATCTTATCCTCCGCCTTCTCCTCACCCTCGTCCTCCTCCTCCTCCTCGTCCGCCACCCGTGCCTCCGTCACTTTTGCTGCTTCTTCGCGACCCGGAAAGCGTCTTTCACGTCTTGTCGAACACCGGTCTTTTCTCCTTCTATCTACCTGTCCTTCGTCTCCTCCAGCGACACGATCACGCTCGGTCGTTCAATCCGAAGAACGCATCTGACCGTTGACTTCGCTCCCCCCGCTTGTTCGAGTTCCCTTCCCTTTTCTCGTTAAGAATGGTCCTATCCAGTGTCCTGTCAAGCGACCGCGTTCTTTCCTCCGGCTGCCTCCCAGGAGAGATCCGATATGCAGCGTCTTCTCTTCGTGGCCGGAGTCCGCGACCTTGGGCCCGAACGTGCACCCTCAGAGCACCGTCATTCTGACGAATCGATTCTGCCGAGCGGAGAGAACGGTGGTCGGTTTTTAGGTCATCAAGGTCGGGACCGAGCTCGATCGATCTACCGTTCCCGCGATTCAATCTTTTCCCGCTGTTTATGGAAAAGAGAAGAGGGAGGGAACAAGAAGGAACCAGCGTCTCCCGAGGATCATCCGTCTAGCGGCGATTCGAGTCGCGCGCGCGACAGTGATCGAGATTGTTCGTTGGACTTGACGAAGTGACCTGACGTCCGGGGTTCTGTGTGAAATAACAGCGAAGAAGGAACACGACGAATTGCTTTATAATCTCGAAATTAAGAAGTGCAGTCTTTAAATGGGTGGAACTGCGGTCTTGATGGATGATGACGTTTTAAGCGAGGAGAACAATGGTACCGATAAAAGCACCATTAATTCAAGGATACTCATCGTAGATGTAAGGATATCCGTATCATAGAAACGTTGGTTAGAACAAGAAACTCGATTACCGAGTTTAGAAAATTGACCAGAGAGACGGGATTGCTTGGCTGCGCTCCGAGGGTCATCGATATTCTACGGTGCAAGGGCCAGGGAGGTAAATTTCGCATGAAAATTCCACTGATCTGTACGTGACTCGCCCTGCGAGACCAATTCAATTTACAAGATTATCCTTTATCTTCCGGATCCTCTGGTTCTCGGTGCACGCGGGCAAAGAAAGGAGCCGCGACATCGATCGAGACGAATCCTCGCCGCAAATACAGCGAATTACCGAGCTGTGTTTGAACTACTCCGCTTATCGTACTCCGAAGGCTGATCCGTCGGTGGATGTTCTACTGCGCGCGGCCCGTTCTCCCTTAACTCTACGCCTGACTTAGCACCGACTACTCTACTACTATGCTCACGGATTAGCCTGTCCTTGGCGAGTGTCCAGTTTACTGACGTTCACTCGCGAGGTGTAACTTCTTTTTTGGTTAGACGTTAAATAGCATAACACGAATGAATGATAAATAACATAAAAGATATTAATAAAAACCCAATTAATTACTGTGGAAGCGCATTAATCGCCTTGCCTTGTGATAACGAGTCAAGAAAATCGTGAACGCTTCGAATTGAATTTAATGAACTCGAATATCCTCCGGTTCGTATCTTTTTGATTGGAAATTATTAATAACAAAGTTTCCTAATCAATCTGGAAACAATACTGGATAACAAATAGAATAATAGTAGTTTAGCGGTAGTCTAGGAATAAGTCACAATGCGGGGAGTTCTAATAGACTTTCTCTGAGTCCTTTTCAATCAACTTGTGGATCCAATTTCTTCAAAAGAACCATTCGGATTCGTTTCATCTACGATTGCCACGAACAACCGTGAAAGACCGTTCCGAAACGGAGAATAAAACGCGCCGGCCGTGGTAGGCAAACAATACGGTTCCGGGTCTGGTTTTTTTATTTTCGTCCAACTTCGTTAGCTGCAGATTAATTCCAGGTCGATTCACGTAACTATACGCTTACCATTCACCCTCTATGCTGACTGAATATAAATGCGTGTTATATAATTTATATATATATATATAAAATTATGTATACAAATCATATATATGTATATATGATTCTACGACCGCCTCAGTCCCCCGAAGCGAATCGTTCAACCTTCCATTTTTCCTACTCATTTTCGTTCCCACTCGGAAAATAAAAGCCCACCGATTCGAATCTCCCGCTCGTTTCAAAGTTGCAAATCGTCCGCCGCGCAACCCGACCGGCGCAGCTACGCAACGCGGTTCTGCGCGAAGGGAAATGAAAGAAAAGAAAGGAAATTCATCTAGGGTAATCGAATGGTAATGAGAAATAGCTTTCCCGTCTGATTTGCGTGAATTGGCTGACGTATTTAACACGAGTGATTCGCGCAAAGCGTGTCTACGAATTTGCGTCTCCTGCCGAGACACCCCGCGCGGCTTGTTTACTTAACCTAGTAAGTATACACGCCTGACTGACCCCCAGCGTCGAAGATAATTCGCAGAGACGTCGTCCGGCGACCAAGCTTTGTAATTATTTGAGGAATAATACGATCGAACCGGCCGCAGCTTCGTGACGATCAAGAGAAAAATATCGGGCAGCGGCGACGGGAACAGCAGCTCATCGTCCGATGAAACTTTCCCGGACTCAAGTAAGTTCGATTGAAGCTTTCGATTGAACAGATCCGTATTTCGTTTTCCCCGAATTTACACGAACTTTAGAATTCGAAAACTTATGGCAATGGCAGGTCGGTTTCATCGGTCATACGAAACGTTCCAATCATTGTCTGTTCAACTCGACTGCGGATCACGTGGTATCAAGAATGTAGCATAAGAGCGGAATGTACACGTGAAGTTTTGTAACCCTGATCGACTTTGTTTATCGTATTTTCTTCTTCTTCTGGATTAGATTATGTACGTCCTCGAAAGGTATAAAATTATTCGAAAAGGACAGATATATGTATAGAGAATTGGAAACAAAGTAATGAGAAGTCTGTCACGTGATCAGATAAGACGCCATTGTTGTAGCTTGCTTTAATCTATAATTGAACGGACAATGCTCGCGTTTGTTCAAGAGTTTTCCTACATTTGGTAGAGTACTTCATTGCAAACTGTTCGAGCAGATCGAACTGATCTAGAGCTTTAACGATATCACTATAAATTAAGTTTGTTCAGACAAACAGCAACCGATTTTCCACGACGAATCAGTCTTCCTGCCGGAATTCTATGTCGTCTACCTATCGAATTAAGTTTCCCAAAGTATCAATCCCTTCCGAATAGCAAATAGAACGGCTAGATTAGACCTGTAGTAAAAAAATGGCGACTGGAAGCACTACTAGGTAGATTCTGGAGGAAAACATGTAAACGCGGATCGATATTGCGACCCACGTGAACGTGAACTGAGGGAATTAAACTTTTCAATCGTCGAACTAGCTTGAAAAACTCTAAAACTGAAAATCGTCTCGATATGATTCTAAGAAACTAATTATCTTAAACGAGTCGAGTTAAACTTTCGTTGCTACGTTGTAGCAATATCGACAGTGCGTATGCATTAGGCTAACCTGTCGATTGTATGATCATTACAGATTCTAAATTGATGAATACTATTGATTATATGATCATTATAGATTGCAAGTCGATAAACATCACCGATTCAACGCCAGCACGCGATTCTTCTAACGTTAATCGGTACTGCGCCCTGCACGATTTAACTCGTCGGTCACCGTAGACCAACGGCGACGGACATACCTTGTTGCAATTTATTGCGCGGCCACGGATACGAACAGATAACGACACACTGACTCAGTGACCCGCTGACATAATCACATTTCTTCTGATAGATCATGACGTAACTATTACGACTCGGTGTTGCATCTCGATCGTTGCTCGGCCGATAAAACAGCCCGTTGCGCTGCCCTAATCGATTATATCGTTCACTCTTTACACTCGTATACCGAAATCCATCGTACAATGAGTCGACTCGTTTGTTCGTTTGTCGTCGCGTTTTCATTCTGTTTTCCATTCTGTCTTTTTTTAATTCAGCCTGCAGCTCTTGCATTTTACCGCGACCGTGATGGGTACAGTCAGATTGGAAAGTTCTTCCATCAAACTGTTCGCAGGAGTTGGTCCAAAAAATACAGCCTCGCAACGAAGAAGAACATAGATGTAGTAACTGGCATGTTAATTGCGCGAAATACCAAATGACAATTCGAAATTCCGAATACTAGCAGATCGACGTTTTTAAGCATACGTTGACTCACTTTTCGCGGTCGCTGTGAATGCGAACTTTGTTGCACGTGCGTTTATCGCGTCAATATCTTAATCATGTTAATTTTATTCATCTCGATTTATGCGAGTGTTTACGATCGGGAAGTCGACTTGTTAACGAGCTAAAAGTCGAGGAATTGGATTCTCTTGTGATTATGAAATACCATTCGCCGTCGGTTAATCGCGCGGGTTCTCAATCTGCGGACTTCAACCGTTAAGTACTAAACAGTAAGTACTAAATTAAAATTATACTCGAAAGAAGCTGTATTTAATACGGCTTTCTTCGACGAATCAACTCAATAGACTCTTCGACCAATTCTCATTAATGCACTAAGAAGAAAGAACATGTCTGAGGTCATTATAAGACCACGTTCATTTTAAGGTTTAAATTTGAATACATCAAAAGTTAAACAACATCTCTTAAGGAAATAATAGTAACAACGAAATGCCGAAAGATCAGGAATATTTATGCAATTAAAGACACTGCGTACGCCGTGTGAGCGGTATCCAGGTATCGATGGAACTTAAAATCGTTTTAAAAACTTCGAGCAACGATCGAGTTCCTAAAAGCGAATTTGCTGTGGTTCTTAGTTGATCGGCACCTTTAAGACATTATTTCAAAGAAAAATAAGAAAATGATCGGTAACGATGTTTTAGTACTTCCCTAAAATGCAAAAACTACCCTCAACCAAACAGAAAATAACTAAGCAAATCCAACGACGCCAAAAACATATAGACACGATTGAGGAATTCCAAAGGCAGCAACAGGGTTAGCAACGAAGCCTAAGAGACGTATGTACAAAACGTCCCATTCAACTAAGCCAAACCATATCTTTCAACCTAAACCCATCAATTGAAAACCAATTACAATTTGTGATTCTCGCAGAGATTAAAAACTACCGCAACCGATACGCTAAAAGCCACAAGCCGTACAAGAAAGACAACAGCAATTTAATTTCCGAGATGCACCGACAAAGGTTGATGAATTTATTTGCCACCCCGCCTCATTGCACAGCATTCAATATCAACTCGCCGTACTTCTTCCGTCTCCAACTGTTCGAAAGATACAGCTCGCCCCAATTGCGTGGGACACCTTGTATATCGCGGACCGAGCCGTTCGCGGGCACAAGAGTTTCGCAATGATTACTCACGTGGCACCTTTCCCGTGGCCGAGGTTCTACGCGCCGCACGGTTCCGTCGTCCTCACCTCGCTACGAGCTGTTCCTCTGCTAACCGTGGCACTCGATCGTTCAAACGATCGACGGACTGGCAGGAATCGTCGAAGCGACGGTCATCTAGCCGGAAGACGCGTGGGGCACCTAGGGCTGCGGCATGAAACCAGCGTGCGAGTCCCATCAACGAGGACGATCCCGCGGCACGGTCTTCAGGACTCGCTCTTGTTGCGATCAGAAAAATGGACGATGGGACCACGCGGATGTAGCAGGAAGTTTGGAAAGAAGACAGAAAAAAGGTGGTGAAAGACGTCCGGGGGTGGTTCTCGCGAATCGATCCTCGGATCAGCAAGCGGCGAGGGAGTCGTCGCTGCCAGCTTCGAAACTCGTGCACGCCGACGTATACTTACGGTCGCGCGGGAACAAGGACATTCCATCCGATAGCCGGCCAAACTGGACGCAGTTCTTTGGCTGTCGATGCGGACAGGGCCGCTTATCGCGAAAGTAATCACGCACACGGGGAAGAGGAGTCGAGTACGCACTGGATAGAAGAGACACTCACGTGCACCGTGCGGCAGCTCTATTCATTAGCACACGGTAGCTAGGGCTATCAAATGGATAGGTTGGATAGGTCAAGCTTCGGAGCGACCTCCGCTCTGTCCTCAGCGATGCTTCATAGACGTAATCCAGGAGGCGCGCACACACGCAGGCACACTCCGCACGCGGGTAATCGCAGCGTGCACCGCGAGACAGACACTGCGCTGGGCTCGGTCTTCTTCGCCGCGCAAAACGATCACGTCGGCGGTACCATCGTCTCGGGTCGTGGGCGACCCGCGCTCCCTTTCACGCACACGCTCCAGCAGTATTCGAATCGACGGCTCTTCCGCGGATCGTCGCGATCGCTGGCGATGGATTTGGAGAACTGACGGGTCGCTTTTCCGATTTTCGTCGACACGGGAAACGCGGCGCGACTTGGGGGAACGGTTGCTCGCAATATGCGAACGCGCAACATGAAAGCGAGCATGTGGGGAAGGAGAGGCGCAGCTAGTAAGAGCGAGGGGAACGCGAGCCACGCCGAGTGCAACGTGACCACGGCACCGCGTACCTTCCAATTGGCCTACTCGATCACGTGGTTACACGGTCACGTTGCAACCGCCGTGGTTCTCGTCTTACGCGCCTCTCTGTCCCCTCGTCTATCTTACCCTCTCCGCTGTCTCTCCTCCGTTCCTCCTCTTCCGCACGGTCTTTTTTTACTTTCTTCGGTAATTACGGTTAACGAAGGAGATGCGTGGAACTCGAGATAGCTTTTCCACGAGATCGGGATCTGCTTCGTAGCTCGCGGGTACTCTTCACGGAAGTTCGGAGCGATCGACGGTCTCCGTTCGTTATACAATTCTTTGGTTTACGATTTCTGTCGCAACTGCGCGAGAACTGCGTACGATACGAAGGATTTCCGGGATCATTGGGAATCTATGTTTACTGATAGTGGGAAGATAAGGCTCGACGTTGAAACATAGAGAACAAAGTGTGCTTCTTGCAATATTTATTACCATTCTCTATCGTAATGCTATTTTCCCAATCGCATTCTTAGAAACTTGAATTTCCATAAAGATCCACAGTCGAGTGCCAAACATCACGGGGAAAGTGGCGTGCACACGTCGTCCCATTACTTCGCCGTTCCCCGCGCAACAGGCTGCCTGTGTCGCAATTACTCTCGCCGAGGCTCGCCAGATCCCCGCGCCATAAAATTCCAGTTTTTGTCTAGCCGGCTCGGCGGTACAGGTTTGAAAGTCCACAATGAAAGATTTGGAAGCGCGCAAAGAGCACCCGTGCACCGGCGAACTGTCTCTATCTCTCTATTGCATGCTCACGCACACACGCGCGCACGACTCGCTCCATGAAACCGTGTGTTTCAATCGGTCTCCAATTTTTCCGCATTCTTCGCCGCGATTTCGTTGGCGCGCCACGATAGGGTTTGCACGAAACGCAACCGTCGGAACCGCTTCGCGTTACGTAAGTCCGTTACACCAGGCCTATGCCTATGCAATACCCTTGACCGAATTGCCGCTCGCGCGAACATACGGCGCGTTATCGTTCTTTCAGCGTGCGATTCACGGTGACGTAACGCGGCGTAGCTGAGCGAGCGCTGACACGACCGATCATCGAGGAAGATCCTAACTCGAACGCGCTACAGGATTATGGTCTTGCTGGAATATGTCTGCCAAGCAGGGTAGCGAAATCGTTTTAATCGGTTGACGGGCAAACGTGCTCGCGATTCTCCGTTAACCGTGGAATTTAGTTTGAAAGTCTCTTATGGGGTGTACAATTCAACTCAAGTAACACGTATACTGATCCTACGCGTTTAACTGGTGAATGAAGTTGCCAGCTGATTGTTACAGTCGAATTCAGTTTACTATTTCCTGTTTCCTTTGGAAGAGAGTAAATCGGGTTCAACTCGAAAAGAACAAGTGGCATCTTCGTGTTTGACCCGTCATTGCAAGGCCAGGGGTTAAAAAACGTTAGTAGACTGGGAAGAGGGGAAAGATGCTTCCCTTATCCTGCCCCCTTCTTCTCTCGAATCCCGCAGGTACGTAGACCTGAGCCAGCACCAATGAAGACCCTTCATGTAGTTCGGGTCCTAAATAGTTGCGACGATCAAATCGACGGTGCAGTAGACGTTCGTTTGTGACACAGAGTCCTTGCACGTTTCACAACAGGTCATTGGTCGGCTGATCTGTTTCGTGCAGTCGAGTTTCCTCGCTCAACGCATGTCCGGTCGCCATTTTAGTAGATTTCACGTAGATATTCTTTCCAAGGGAAACCTCTTTATTTGGGAAACAGTCGATTTTGCTTCGGTTTCAAGGAACGAATATCATTTGTGCACCGAAACGACGAATCGAACGACGAATTCTCGGCATTCTGGACGTCTGTTGAAAAGAAAACAGCAGGTTCGCGCTCCGCGTCGCGTCTACCAACCGAGCAAACAAGTGTTTCGTGAAACGACTGTCGTTACTTCTCCGCGATCTCGCTAGTTCTTCGAATGCATCTGACGCGAGGGTGAGATGCATCGAACGTGGGTGACACCGAGTGACAGTTTTCAACGAGTTCTATAAATCGGCGAGGATCACGGCCGTCGTCGTGAGATTATCAAACCATGGGAGGGTAGTGATAAGACATGTCGGGGAATAGTTACAGTTTTTATTTAGTAGTTCTCACATATAAAACATACCAGAAAAAGAGCCACGTCTTTCCCGATACATTCCTTTCTTATTGCAAACC